CCTTCCCTCTCCAACAACGGTTGTTGATAAACTGCAAAGCAAATTTTTGTGATGCGTAAGCTTATCAGAACAAGCGATTAAGTTTTTCATAATCTGACTGAATAGATCTCTGCTTGTTGCAATCACACTGATAAGACGACTTCTTTTCATTCACAAAAACGGTTATGAAACATACTGGGTGGCACAGTGACACTGATAGGAGCTTCTTCAGTCTGCGACGCGTCGATACTGAACGAAACAGGACTTCCAACACGTGCTTCCAATAACGTATCTGGTCGCAGCCCGCTGACCGCAATGCGGGAAGGATCGTTAGGCATATCGGCAATGACACGGAACGGCGATCCTGGAACATCCTCAACTCCATGGCCACAGTTGCGCAAGGATCACATCAAATCGGTGAGATTTGTGTGAAAGCAGCCTCTTTTCAACGAACCATGGATGTGCTGCTTATCTTCGTCCTTTCCATAGCAGATGCCAATGGTATATTCACCCGGCACTGGAGGGACGTATTCCACCGAGCAAGTGCCATCAGAGTTATCAATGCATTTGTTTTTCGCCTCTGCAGGGCCCATGAACTGCACAAACAATTCACCATCTCCGGCATTCTGAAAACATCATTTTTCAATAGAAGCAAAACCAGAATGATACGAGCTGTGGGACGCCATCAATTAAGAAGACTCTCTTTAACGAACAAACGTGATTAGCAATCCGTATTTGTTTACCACACACGTATTCCTGTTTCAAGTGCGTTTGCGGAATTTTGATAGCTGCATCGTACCTCGTAAACTGGGGCAGTTAAGCGTATACCGCTATGGAAAAATAATAGTTTTCACGAAAACCATAGGCGATGATTATCAGTTCTTCATCCATTGAGTTTAGTTCATAACGTCAGAAATGGCAACCGCGCATACGTATTGCAAGGAAAAATCAGGAACAGAATAATTTTGAATAAGTGGGCAACAATGCCCAGATCGTAAGCTTATCGGCGATATGATATGAAGGTTTGTCCAGAAAGCCTGGATAGAGTTTGGACAGGTGAGGCATGGCAAATGACGCACATGTACCACACGAGCCCTACGATGGGGGCGGAATACGCGCAAAAATGGGCGGTGCTAAAGCAAAAATTCCTGGCTTGATTCCAGCACAGTTAGAAGCCTATTCAAAATGAATAAAGCTGAGGGCAGATAGGCGAATAGGATGGAAGAGATCCACTTGTCTAGGGCGGGGATTGTGTGAGTGGGCGGTGCTTGCGAAAATTCGTATCCTGATTCAGAGGCAACTTGAAACCCAAAAAGGAGCGGTTTGGTGCTTGTGGTACGCCAAATATGTCTGACACGAACGAACCGCGCAAACAGTGAGCGTGGCTCGTGTTTACTGTAAAAATCTGTTCTTAATTGATTTTTTCATGATTACTACAAAAGTCCACAAATTTTTCAAGAAGTCTTGTAGAACAACGAAAATTGACAGACTAACAAGGCAAGGTTAAATGGTCCGGGTGGTGTGGAGCGACCAGTATGGGGGTTTAAAATCGGAAGCCTGTTACATATCACATTACTCAAGTCCCATGCCAACGCGTTCGAGCGCAGTGACAAACTGCATCACTACAGTGAGGCTACATACAATACATCCCATAAAGACTAATTTTTGAAGGATAGTGCAAAGCAAGGCCGGGTATTGGCTTGTACTATTATGTGGTAGTAGCTACGTTGAAATATACCTTATCCATGAAAATAGACGAGCTGACATGCACAATAAAGTGGGCGTAATGCAGGAAGCCCACCGCGCATGGATTACGGCAAGTAGCGTGGCGACTCGGAATTTACTGTAGTGCAGATAAAGAATCTGATCAAATTCACCTCCGTCCACGCTCCAGAACTGACCATGAGCTAAGAAGAACGAGACTAAATGAAAAGTTTCCTGGAAACCTTGTCTCTTCCTGTTTCGCTTAGTCGAAAGTCTCAGTCTGTCTGTGCATGTCAAGACAAAACTAGAAACAAAACGAAGGCATTCGACCACATGTCGAAATTTTCCATTCACACTGTTGTAAGAATTGTATTGGAATAAATCATCTTAGCCTGATTAATTTGAATTAATCAAGATGAACTGGTAAAAATGCTCCTGTCTGCCTTTAGTTATCGTTGAGCCTCCTGCACTAAGTGAGCTCAAAGAATTTTTGAAGTGAGTGTAATTATGATTTGATATTTATGTAGTTTTGTTCTAGGAAGTACACACTTTTTGTGTACTCAATATTGCACCAGCTACGGCATTAGCAGGATTTCCCCAAGTAGTCCAAGACATACTCCAGACAGGCCACCCACTCACTGATGGGTGCATCAAGTTTGCCCGACACGCCCCTCGAATTATTTGCAGCGCCCCAGAGTGACGTTTACTAACACGCTGAGCGCAAGCTCTGAACCGAAACATAAACCGCAGCTTTAGGTATTTAATGTGTAAGAAGAAGAATCTGACAAAAGGTAAATTCAAATATTTAGTAATGGTACTTTTTGCATTCACCTATTGACTGATTTTCACTCCAATAGTTGAACTGTTCAATAGTGTACAACACAATTAAGAGCTCAAGTCAACATCACCTTTTCTTTGGAAAACTTTCATAAATCAATATAAATCATTCAGATTCGCGTACTTAATTAAAATTTTTTTCATTAATTAAGTTTTAAAGGAACCACTACTTACATGGCATTCCAGATGTATGCAATTCTTCTGACAAAAAATATCCGTCGACATTTCAGCAGCAACTGTCCCGATGGACAGGAAGAAAGAAGTGTGTCAGCTGACCTATGTGCAAGTACCTCACACGAGTTGGTTTCAACTTAGGGGTCATTCTTTGAAAACTTTACAACGACTTCGCGAAAACTATGTCGCAAGTTTTGCTTCGTGTTTCCTTAAAAAACGCGACCGTGAATGAACGAAGGCGATTCATCGCAGAGTTGGCTTTGGATCGTGAACCCTAGGTCCGCCCTGTCAACGCTTGGCAACGGCGCTATGAACTTAAATCCATCCACACCGGTACATTACAGAGAACGCCATAAATATAGGAACAAGGTAATTATTGCAAATCACGATAGGGAATGAAACATGGGAATACCGGTATCGCATCAGATAAAAGCTGCAAGATTGTAAGATACGGTTACGGGTCACAAAATGACAGCTCGCGGGAGGTTCGCGTCTGCTGCAGTAGCGGTAGAACTTCCTTAGAGAGCTCCGACTTAGGCTCTGCTCGACCTTCTCACATTCGATGTGTTGCATTTTAAGTCTTAAAGCCTCACTCTTTTACACAGTTAAACTGATCTGACGTATGGCGAATTTGTCTCTCGACGAAACATTGCCATGAATTATTGGTTGTCCTATAATTCCTGTGCAACTTCAGTACAAATGCAGTTTTCTTCGAGTCAAATCAGTGTCACGCGAAATATGTTAGTATGTTGAGGGATGCATCACGGTCTTTAGCAAGGGTTTTCAGAAGTTAGGGCAGAGCAGCAGCATATGCTAGTATGTTGAGGGATGCATCACGGTCTTTAGCAAGGGTTTTCAGAAGTTAGGGCAGAGCAGCAGAAATATGCTAGTATGTTGAGGGATGCATCACGGTCTTTAGCAAGGGTTTCAGAAGTTAGGGCAGAGCAGGGATAGCCGAGTGGTTAAGAGGTTAGACTCATGTCTGCACCTCTGAAAAACCGCGAGTTCGATCCCTGCCGAGGCTTAAACCATGCCTTGCAAAAATTGCAAAAATGGTTCTAGTACCAGCGTCCAGGTTGACAGGCCGGCTGATGAATACCCCAGTCACACCAAACATGTCTAAAAGTCGCAAAGAATCAGTGATAAAGCTAGGACGTCACCCGGAAGTGGCGCGCAGAACCCCCGCCCGAGTTCTGTGGTCAGTATGCGAGGGCTACCGAGGAGTGAACGGCCTCGGCCAAAGAAGCTAGTTCGAATTGGGACTCTGAACGTAGGATCGCTAACTGGGAAGTCCCGAGAGGTTGCTGATCTGATGACGCGCAGGAAAATCCAAGTCCTATGCCTTCAGGAGACGCGATGGAAAGGTGCTAAGGCCAGGGAAATCGGGGAAGGTGTCAAACTCTACTACAATGGAGAAGACACCAAGCGGAACGGTGTGGCCATAGCGGTAGCGGAGTCGCTCAAGGACTATGTCTCCGCTGTGAACAGGATCAGCGATCGGATCATGGCTGTGAGGATAGACACGAAGGAGGGGTACTGGTCAATACTCTCCGTGTACGCACCGCAGACCGGATGCCCCGAAGTGAGAAGGACGAGTTCTATCTAAGCCTTGACGAAGCCATCAAGATCGATTCCGGAAGGCGATTACCTGACCATAGCAGGTGATCTGAATGGCACGTCGGCAGCGACAG